TCATCACAACTTGAATCACCAATAACAATCACTTCATCAAACGAATCGGGATGCACAGCTAGTACTAGCAGAACGTAATTAGCAACATTTTGTCCAAGGAATGGTTAAATTCATGATACTTCAATGATAACTTAGAACGAATATAAGATTTGAAACGTCCAAATGTGGCCTGTGACCCTATCGAAGGTCGCTTGGACCGTGAAAAGGCCGAAGCTCGGCTATTAGGGGGTTGCAGGTGCGCACCAGCAAAGATGGGCGATGCGCACGGTTTCCCCAGAGTCCTGGGAGCGGCAGACGTATGTGAAACAATTTGTCCATGTCCGCTAACGAACCTCCCGGAAGTTGCCAATGTTGACTTTCTGTCGAAAAGAAAGCAAGAGATGGTGGCGTTCTGGAAATTTTTTTCTGCAGTCATCCAAAAACTTCGAAAACGTGTATCATGCTTCTACAATGATCTGCAGCGGATAGAGGGCCTCTGGAGCAAAAGGTGCAAGAAACAGAAGTTTCGAAGTCAGCTAGCAGTGTAGAAATTTGTTTGGATCTTGGTTCCCAGAGTCTGAAGCGCATAGAGATGTTTATTGGAGTGTCTACATTGCTTCGTCCACTGTTTGTTGGAATACGGCGACTGAAAACCTCTTCTACCAAACGCAAACTTAATACCCTCAACCCTGAACCCCAAATTCCAAAACCTATGTCTTTTGTGTGAGTTCAAGGAATCTTATCATTGAAAGCCCTTCAGCGCGCGGCGTAGTGCACTCGAGAACCCTGGTGCAAGTTCAGTAAAGGTTTTAAATCGACGAGCCTGGAATTTGGGTGACCCGTTCACCACACCTTAAACCGCGAAGATCGACATACACGGGTACAAAAATGTATGCACATGTATACAGTGTAATAGAACATAATATAGCCTTACAGAATATTGTCTTGCATCTCATTATATGGTATGTATGTATTAAAATGCAAAGTGGTGCAACATAACACAGCTTGGCGTAGCATAGTAAAATGCAAATAGAATGTTCATATAGAGCACATTGATGTAACATAACATAATATGAAACCTAGTAATATATATATATATAGATAAATAGATAAATAGATAAATAGATAAATAGATAAATAGATAAATAGATATATAGATATATAGATATATAGATATATAGATATACAGATATATAGATATATAGATATACAGATATATAGATATATAGATATATAGATATATAGATATATAGATATATAGATATATAGATATATAGATATATAGGTATATAGATATATAGATATATAGATATATATATATATATAGATTTATAGATATATAGATATATAGATATATAGATATATAGATATATAGATATATAGATATATAGATATATAGATATATAGATATATAGATATATAGATATATAGATATATAGATATATAGATATATAGATATATAGATAATAGAGATATAGATATAATATATAGATATATAGATATATAGATATATAGATATATAGATATATAGATATATAGATATATAGATATATAGGTTCATAGGTATATAGATATATAGATATATAGATGTATATTTATATTTATATTTATATTTATATTTATATTTATGTTTATGTTTATATTTATATTTTTGTTTATATATTTTATTTATATTTATATTTATATTTTTGTTTATAAATTTTATTTATATTTATATTTATATTTAAATTTATATTTATATTTAAATTTATATTTATATTTATATTTTTATTTATATTCATATTTAAATTTATATTTATATTTGTATTTATATTTATATTTATATTTATATTTATATTTATATTTATATTTATACATATAGATGAATACAATACAAGAGACTATACTACAACACAATACAAGAAAACAGTGTAATTTAATACAGTATAATGTAATACCATATAACGTAGTATAACATAATACAGTATAAGAGCCATTACTACAACACGATACACAAAATAAATTAATGCAATACAGTATAATGTAATACCATACAACGTAGTATATAGAACTATGATACAACAGAATATAATGTATTGTAAAGCAATGTACAGTTGTGTAGTGCAATGAAATACCGGCATACGTACATACACACACATACGTACATACATACATACATATACATACATACACATATACGTATATACGCATATACGCACATATGCGCTAACGTATATACACATACACGCTTTTACATGTACATTTCTAAGAACTCGAGCTATCAACTTGCGACCTAGTAGCTCTTCGCAGTTTAACCTAGACGTCACCCCTGAGCCCCTAAGCCCTAGGCCCTAAACCGTAAGCCGCAAAACCCTAAACCTTGAACCCCAAAGCTTAAACCGCAAACCGTCTACCTTCAACCCGAAAACTTAACCCCAAACCTGAAGCTCAGAGCCTAAGCTTTGGCTTTAAGGGTTTACGACTCGTCTCACGAAGGCTTCGTCTGAACGATCGCTGTTTGCGGCTCGTCAGCTGCTCCAAAGCCGTAGATCGCGAACCCGTCCTCAATATAGAAGGCTTGACCTAGGTTTAGATTATTGAGAAGTGGAGGGAAAGAAACTGCAGAGGCGAGCGTCCATGGCTGTATGCACATGGTGAAAGTGGTTTTTGGCCTCTACTTTTTTCGAGTGTCTAAGTCGTGCGCCAAGGTGGGGAATCAACCTGTGCAGTCGTGTGGAAGCGGCAGGCATGGATCTTGGAGGGCCCAATACAGACGTACAAGCACGCACAGAACAAAACGTGTATACATATACACACACACATATATATATACATGTGTATATCAGTATAAAAACACTGTTTTTCAATTTCTATATTGAAACAAAATAACACAAGTGTGAGGGGTTGTTCTCGTCCACGTGCGAGAGTCAATGCTGTACATTCTCGTCCATTGTTGCTTATGAGGTGATCGTGGAATGTCTCGAGGAAAGCGCATTGCGTGTGGAAGCGGAGAGTTTTCACATGGACCAAAGCCAACTAAGAGTGCTGTTTTGCATTGTTGATTCAAAACGGAACACTATGCAACAGTGTCTCTGGGGGTATCGACAGGACCGAGTGTTTGTCATTGGATTTGACACATGATTGCAACCGTGTATCAACAGGAAAGAGGGCTGGTTGAAGACGGTGAATGTCTCGGTTCTTGTACCATGAAGTTCGCATGTTGAAACCAGGACGCTTCTTGTTTGCATTGAGGGCAACTTCGGCTCAACATGCTCAACAGCAACAGGCAGGGGTGCGGTTCGACATTCTCTGAAGAGTCCGGATTGTTGCTGAGCAATTTGATTTACGTTAGTAATTAGTACAAGGAATCGGCATGATTCATTAAATATTAAAGATCCCTGCTAATGCTATGGCTTACAACAGTTCCGTTGCAAGAGTCCAATAGAGAGAGTTGGGCGATTTGATCTGCCTTATCTGGCATGTCACGTCCACTGCTGCAGTCGGGTGCCTTGGCTGAAGTGACAATAGAGTCAGTGTGAGCCAAGTTGAAGCTTAAGGTTCACGTAAAAACTGTTAATGAGTCAGTATAGAACCTTGCTTTAGGGTCCTTTTGTGGCTGGTATTCGTCGTTCCTGTCGGCGCCCGATTTAAGATGGGTAGAAGAGTCAGAGGCGCGGCGTGTTTGGTTGCGGGTGTCTAGTCCTTGCGGATCGTCCTCAGCTTGTTGCAGCGATATGGCAGAGTTTTGAAAAGAAGGTGTGTGAATCCAGCCATACATCACGCACGTCGAAGGATTAGGGGTTCAATTTCGACATTCCGGTAATGTGGCGGCCGAGAGGAGCTGTGGAGTCAGAGTTGAAATTTGTATCTAAGGCTCCATCCGGCTGTCACATGTGCTGCTCCCCGCGATAGCAGTGCTTGTGCTCTTCCAGCGGCTGTTTGGGCAGACGAGAGGGGCAAAGACGATCCTGACTCATTCTTCTGAAGGCTCCACTTGATGTCGGCTGCCCTGCCTAGGCTCGCTATTGCTGAATGCCACGTACGTTGGGGAGTAGCCTGCAGCACGAAGCCCTCCTCGACCACCGGCAATGGCCCAGCCGGCCTAGCAGTGCACTTGCAACAGAAAGAGCAGCCAGGTAGACGGATCCGTCTTCTTTTTTCAAGGTTGGTCAGCAGACTTCGGCATGTGTTTTTTTGCAGATTGTTCTTAGGGAAGGGACCTCTGCGCTGTGCACCATGCTCACCAACACAGAGGTCTGTGTGCACAAGATTGCACAAGACGGTATCTGCATTTCTCGCGGCTTCGCAGCCGTCAAGCATGGCCGGCGTGACATGTCACAGCGAAAGGTCCGGAGTCTGCAAGCTTAAACCCGAGACCTTAAATCCTTAAACCCCAAAAGCCCTGATTCAGGTCCAAAACCTTAAATCGCACTTTAAAGCAGCTGTTTTGCAGGCTTTCGGTGCCAAGGTGCTTGCATGCTACCTGCACCCGCCCCATACGTGTACACCATGCTGAGAGGCATGTGCAGATTGTGCACATCAGGGCAAAGAAAGGCAAGGATCCATGTTCAAGTCGTCCTTATGGAGCATGCTCATTGAACCAGAAGTCATGCACGATCACAGGACTTTCGGGCCACATGTGAGAAGCAGTCAAAGTAGCTCCTTTTCCTGGCCCTTCCTGGCCCACACTGTGGGCCGCACAGTCACCAGAACTAGAGCCCGTGACCGGAGGTGAGGTTCGGACGCCGATGCTGTGGGCAGAGGATTGGGAGATGAACGCGGTGTCGGGATGTCCAGGTTTGACGTTCAGGATTTGCCATCGGAGGTCTTGCATTTACCTTGCTGCCCATTGCCTCTGTGCCGAAAAGCAAGCCTGACGTCCTAGGATTCGCTGACACATCCCTCTGTGCCACGTCCCCGAATGCCAGGTTCCGAGAAGCTCGTGGGCAAGCACGCCCAAACCATGTGGTGAATCGGTCGAAGTAGACTTTCCAGGATTGGCTTTAAAGTTTGCGCAGTATAAACGCTGGAGGGCCGAAGGCATGGCTAAAGTTGCGGATACGCAGATTCAGAGACTGGGAATCAAGGCGTTCCTAAAGTCAGACGTCCTACACCGAAGCGCAGCTGCGCGCCTGCTTCGTGCTTGGGCCGGCGCCGACCGAGAGCTCTATGGATCCATCATCCCCGACAACCTGACCGAGTCATCCGAGTCCCAGCTGCTTTGCCGCCAGCGCTACAGGAGCGGCCCCAGCCATGCCTTCGGAGCTTCGACATCGCATCTGTTGCCAGGCTTTGCCGCTTTTCCTGCCTGTGACTCCCTGGAAGCTTCGAAGAAAGGTTGCCACCTTGTGGTCACGGCCATGCCCATCGGTTCCAGGAAACGAGAGGAATGAATGCTTTCTAATCCTGCTCCCTCCCGCTCAAGGGCATCAGCGTCGTACTTGCTGTGCCCATTGCGACGTTGACATTGTGTCGATTGTGCTGTCTGCAGGCTGTGCTTGCTTCAAGGCCAAGATCATCGCCGCACGGGCTGACCCCTGCAATAACGTTTGACCTTTGCAGGAACTTGAAAAGCTCCGTCAAAGAAAAGAGAGCAATGCAAAGGTACAGGCCACGACCGCAAGCCTTTCTGACCCGCCGTCTTTGGCGGCTTGGCAGACAAAGGCCATTGCTGGACTCGGTGCCGGTTGCTCTCACTTTTCCGGAGTGCAGGTGCACCAGGCTTCAGAGAAACCAAACCGTGGAGGACTCAGCCTCCACGCTGCGGAGCTGCTGGAGTCACCGGAGTCTGAATCGTTTGCTTGCGCGGTGCAGCACCCTGCCCTAATCAGCAGCATCTCCAGCGATTCGTCGAGCCTTCTTCAGACAGAATGGAGACAGGCCTTCCACGCTTCTCCTGTTCGACCCTGTGCCAACCGCCTGAACAAATGTAATGGCAGCAAGCATGGCAGCCAAAACTTGGAACACCTAACAAAAGCAGCAACTACTATAAGCCCTAAACCCCCTATCCGAAGCAGCACAGGTCTAGGTTTTCTCGTCGAATTTCTTTCTGGGGCCCGGTGGCGGGCGAGGTGCGTGCCGCTGGAGCTTCTCCTGGCTTTTTCAGGTTGCGGAGAAGTGCGAGGCGGTACAAAAGTTTTGACGCAGTTTGCTTATAGAGGGTTCGAGTCTTAGGGTTCAGGGCTTGGGGTAGACTGTTTCGGGGTTCGAAGTGCATGATGACACAGGTCGAGACTCGCGGCAGGCGTCATTAGTCCTCTAACTGAAGCTCGGGCAAGGGTGAGTCCGAGCTCTCCGGCACCGCACCGGTCCCTGCTGCGTAGCCTCCTAGTCGAGGGATGCTCTCTGCCTGTTCATTGGTGGTCGGTGAAAGCCCTTTTCCAAGCTTCTGCCAGCTTTTACGTCGCCGTCCATGTGAGAGCCAGTGCTGTGCGTGTGCACAAGCAGACGCCGTAGGGCCGCCGTAGGTCTTGCCGATGCAAGGATTCGAGTGCACGCGCCCCACGACTGGAAGCAAGAGGTCGATGCGGGACCTTCGATGCAAGCGAAAGGACCGGCATGCATCGGGAAAGCTAGAGTGCCTGGATCTTCTCCTAGGCGATGAGAACACGTGGTGGCGAAAACAGCATCGTTTTTGGGGGTGTCGAACACCTCGTCTGCAGAAGCCGATCGTCACACAGACAGCAGTGAGTCATTTCTTCCGGAGTCCGCTACGCGCATAGGCTGCCACCGCTGCAGCATCTGTCGGTCTCCGCTTCTAGCAAGCCGCCCAATGCCCTGCAGCTTAGCATGCGAGACTGCTTGATCTTGCTGCCTGGTGCAGCGTGAACGTGAGAGCCTCGCCGAGACGACGAGGGATACTGGTCTTCACGCCTGGTGATTCTGCAACTGTGATACTGTGACCGGACTTGCAAGCCGGACACATGCAAGGATGCAGTGTCAGAAAACGGTGATGCAGAAGCCTGATCACAGCCGTGCAGAATGACAGCACAGTGCAGCTTGCCTGATCTGTTGCCTTGTTTCGCATGAACTCGCATGCTTGCTGATAAATGCAGAGTCTCTCGTGGTCTAAAGTGAGAACCTCGACGAGCTAGCAAGGCATCACAGTTGAGCCATAATGTTATATCCATGCAATCCGAGCCTGGTTGTTATTCTCCAAACTGCAAGAACGAGACCCTAAGCAGAGTAGCAGCCCGACTCCGGCAAGGAGCCAGATCATCACAGCCCCCTGTTGCGAGCTCAATAGCTGCTGCTTTTGCCTAGGACTGCGGCTTCATCTCTTTTCATTTCTGAAGTGCAATGCTGTCCGACTCTGTGGCGGCATAGAGTGTCTGGTGCTTAGTAGGGAATGGGGAACTGGATGCTTATAGTAGTCCTTTTTTCCCCAACAGTAGTCCCAATAACCCATTCCCTACTAAGAACCAGACAGACTAACGTGTACATCCTCGAAGGATGAAGCAAGAAACTGACATATTGCACGGAACTTGTTTGAAGCCTCCGGTACCCTTCCAGCTGCATTGTGCCATGGGGAGGCTGTGCCAAGGGCTCCTGCCTCTGTGCAGTTTTTGTTTTGGTGTTGTTGCTGCAAGAGGCCAGGCTGTTAGGAGCTACCAGTGTTGTTTCCCTTAAGGGGGTTCCTATAAAGTACCCTTAGTAGTATAGAGCTCCCAATTAAGGGCAAAAGTTGAAGTCCCGACGAATTTTCGCCAAGATCTCTTTGCAGTGTCCTGCAGTTGTCCTAATCGAGCAGCTTTCTGTCCAAGGCGCAAGCTAGAGAAACCAGCCTGCTATGTTTATCCCTGCAACATGCCAAGCAGCGCAAAGTCTTGAGTGCTTTCAAGCCCTTTCCTGTGCCTGCTGCTCACGACCAAGTCCTGATCGAGTCTTGCAAGGGGCAGGAATTACCCGGTATGCTGGCAGCTGAAGCCGCCAGGGGTTGATTGGGGGCGGCGTCCTACGCAGGATCAGTGGGCTGAGACCTGTGGCATACCCTAAACCCTAAACCCTAAACCCTAAACCCTAAACCCTAAACCCTAAACCCTAAACTCTAAACCCTAAACCCTAAACTCTAAACCCTAAACCCTAAACCGTGAAGCTTTGAGGCCTCGGAGGAGTTCACGCAGCAAACCTGGTCTTGGCCGTGTTGAGGGCTCGCAGGTTTCCACCGCTGCCATCAGCTGCCTAGGGCCAAGGACCTAAGGAAGGAAGGCAGGGCCATCACGGCCTGGTCTGTGGCTGGATCATGGAGTTTGTCGTTTCTGTTCAATCTACACATCCACACGCTGAATTCTTGCCCTGACAAGATACCGCGCTTTGGTCCACCGTACATAGTTGGCAAAGTCTGTTTTTGGTCTAGTGTCCTGTCTTTGTTATCAGGTCATCGCCGAAAGGTTCGTAAATTCTGCTTTGCAGCCCAGGTAGACTACTTCACGCTTGTACTTGTTTGGTGGCATTTTGCAATTTGGGCCGGCTTTCCTGATCGATACCAAGTCTGAGCCCCAACTTTGACATTGAACTTTGCCACTCCCAACATCGATCGCTCATCCTCAAAATTCTTGGTAACAAGTGTATCTCCGAAACGGAGCTGGTCCTGTATGACGACACCCTAGATCCAGTTTTTATCCTTGGATCCCTTCCGAAGACTGCTCTGGAATGAAATCGCAAGGTGACATCCCTCTCTTGCGTCTCTAGCTTTCGTGTTTGGGTTGTAGAGAGGCTGCGCTGAGCTCAAAAGACAAACCACTCGTGAGCAGATATCTGGAGCAGCTCCACAGCTGTCAATACACTGCATGCATGTCTGCACATCGGTGCCCCTGCCGCCAAAGCTGCAATAAAGGCCTGGGTTTGTTCCGGGGGCTGGAACCTGTTGTGGCTGAGCCTGGAAGCCTCCTGGTGCCAAAATCCGCGTGACGCCGCAAGGTCTGCGTCACCTCATGGCATCTCTCCGGCACAGGAGCCTGGTTGTTCTGAGGCTGCATCTACGTTGTTCCTCTGTGCTCACGAAGAAACGCGGCGGTTGGCAGTGACCTACACGTATGGCAGAGCAGTGAAGAGTTGCAAAGCCACTCTCAAAGCCGCCACGTTGCGTATCTGACTGCAACATAGAAACTTCCTGCCCATGTTCGATCTGTCCTTGCCACAGCTCGGCATACTGCAGCCGGCTTGCGATGTTTCTAGATAATCTGTACTAGTTCCAGCTAAGTCCAGATGAGGAACAATGGCTGGCGGATTGTGGGTTCGCCATAGTCTGCCATTCTGGCGTTGTTACCGTTCTTGCTTCAGGCGACTGCAACCTCAAGCAGTTTGACGATGAACTGCTGCAGATTGCAGTGCCATCTGTGCTTCAAGAGATCGGTCCAACGTTCACGAGCCTTTGGCGGTCCAGTGGTCCAGCAGAAACCCCAAACGCTAAACCCTGTCAATCGTTGGGTTTTCGGGTCCTCTGCCGATCGTTGGCAAAATTAGGGTCCCTTTTCGGGTACCCTACAGACATTTCAGAGCATGGTGTGCAACCCTAGATCCGGGACTAAGGGCCTAAGCAAATCCGCCATGCTCCGTGTAGGCACTCGCAATGGAAATTGGCAACCCGCGATCCAACTCTGCTGAGATTGTGGGACTCGACAGCATAAGCCGTATCATCAGCCCACCAAGCTGAGCAGCTGAGTTGTTCCTATGCAGGGCTGAGGGTTTAGGGTTTGTGGCGCCGCCAAGTTGGAGGAAGATCCGCCTCTCGTGGCGGTTCGCAACACATTTCAGCCCCAGGCTTGCGATGGATTCCACAGTTTGAGTCTACTCCAGGGTTCAGGGCTCTAGGGTTTAGACGGTATTGTATGCAGTTCACCAGCCCCCGAGAGAAGAGATTGAGTTTACTCCTTCAGTACCGAGAGAACAGATTGGCCAGCACATGAGCCAAATCCAGTCAAAGCGACCAGACGTCCCAACTGCGTAACTATCCATACCCTAAGCCCTAAACCCTAGTACTCGGTTCACTTTGGTACGCCAATCGGTGGTCTGGTTCACCCCCTTCAGTGCCATCGCATAGCTGCGTTTCGTTGTAATCGACCTTCAGCATGGATCTGTCAGGCAGCTTGTGGGTCTATGCCTTTGCAGGGACGTGGGCAGTGTAAGCAGTTGTGGGGAATGAAGCGTCCTGCGGGCACCAGTGACTGTTCAACGCATCCTCTAGTCGCAAGCGGCACGAGCGTCATTCCGCGACTCATGGCTGCATCATGACAGGCTAAGTGCATGTGGAAGTGCGTGTTTGGGCAGTGCACCTGTCCATCGCAACATCTTCATTGCAGAAGCTGCTTTGCAGGCACCCGTACAGGTCCATCACTTTTCCAGCTTAAATGCAGCATAGACCACTGCATACATCTTCTTGCCTGCTTTATGT